AGTTAACATACCCACACTGTTCAGTTAACATACCCACACTGTTCAGTTATTTCAGACACACAAACTTTTCAACTTTCAAACTTAAACGGTGCGCTCCCAGCGCACGTACCGGCAGTGATCTACGGCAGTGGTTTTCAACCAGTGGTACGGGGACAAACTGTCTCGCTCTCGTAATGTCTGTCTGTCTTGCTCTCGTTCTGTCTCTCGTACCACTCTCGGTTCCACTTTTACTTTTGCGCGCTACCTGTCTCACTCTTTTCCGGCCTCCAGCTTTTCCTGCTGGAGCCCGCCGCTTAAAGGTGGGGGGCGCGGGCCGGCCATAGAGCCCATAGAGTTAAAGGTGGTGGACTGTAACCTGTAAAATCCATAGATTTAGGAGGTCCCCTAGTGGCCGTTAGCTGTAAAAATCCATAGATTAGCCGCACCGTTATATAAGCCGCAGGGTCGAAAAATGGGGAAAAAGGCGCGGCTTATAGTCCGAAAATTACGGTACTTGTTATTACATCCTAAACAGTGTTGTCTGTCTTTACCCTCTACAGCAGGCGGGGGGCAGGCGATGTGACACAGGACCCTGAGAGCAGACACCATGCCAGTTCCCTCAGCAGTCAACACATGTTCCACATTCTGCAGTCAAGAGAAGACACAAGTAAAAAATGACATATAGCACTGTTATTTGCATACAACCTTGACTCTACCAGGCTAATGGGCGGTACATTTTTGAGCCGTTCAGGCTTGTTGGGGAAGCTCTGCATGTCAAGGGGATACTATATAAACATGATTTATAGTGTGTGACTTGTTGCTTTGTTCACAGCTTAAGTGGTTTGTATAGCTTGAATGAGCCACTTTTTCAGCAGCTTGCTTATAAGTGGTGAGAACAATTTTTGATTTTTTTGATTTGATTTTGATTTTGATATACTTTATTAATCCCCGTGGGGAAATTGTTTCTCTGCATTTGACCCATCCTAGTGTTAGGAGCAGTGTGCTGCCATTTTGAACGGCGCCCGGGGAGCAGTGTGGGAACGGTGCCTTGCTCAGGGACACCTCGGTAGCACTTGGTCTTGCCGGGACTTGAACTGGTGACCTTCCAGTTGCCATGCCAAGTCCCTATCGACTTCGCCACCACCGCCCAACAATGTACGGTTTTTCCTCATGAAATAAGCTCTATAACTCTGCATTAAATAAAAATGATGAAACTGTAATCTAAGACTCCTTGCAGTTTATGTAAGAATAAGAGACTGATTACTTTACTGAAAGAGTGAATACATAACCCGAGTTATATGTCATAATCAAGTCATTGGCAGCAGCCAAAACTCTTTCAACTGAAGACATTTATAACTTGCTGACTTAAAAAGACTCAGAAATGATTAAGACTGTCTGTTGGTGGTGCAGGGGAAATGCTGCCTTACTTCAGCACTACGTCATGTATAGGAGAGAGCTGTACCTGTTTGATGTAATCTATGAGGACGGGAATGCTGCCGATCTCAAAGCGTATTTTATCCAGAGGCTCCAGCCATTTGCCAAGCTCTGAAGTACCAAGGAAGAACAAAACATAAACAATTAAAAAACTGAAGATTTAGATTTTAAAAAATGGACACTTATGGTATGATAGTTTAACCGATTTGTTCCAGGAACTGACATTTTGAATTTGCTGTGATGAACAAGTTTTCATGTCCCATGTTCCCAAAGAATAAATATAATAAATGGTTAGAACATTACTGTATCTCAAAAAATACAAAAAGTTACATTTAAATATGCCATCTGTGAGGTCATGACAAGTTGAATATTAAAGAAATGCACACATATGCTGTGTGAATAAATACACACATTTAATAAAAAACAATGATAGCGAATTCCTATTTAAAAAAATTCTTGACTTCATAGTTCAAGTGATCTTAACAATTTAAAGTTTAATGTAACGTACTTTGGCACCAGATTTCAAGACTTTAGAAGAACCGATAATGCATTTATTGTCATCATATTAAATAATAAATGTACCCTGTAACTTGGCATTGGTGTCGTCAGCCTTGGCTATAGCGACCAGTGGAGCGGCATATTGTTCCATCGTCCTCAGGTCGTTGGAGGTCTGCACCACGAGGAGCACCAGCATACAGGCGTAGTTATAGGTCACTGCTTTGCGAGCTTTGGCCTCACTAGAAGAAAAGATTACAAAATAAGTCAAAACATACTCAGAAGTCATACATTTAAATAAAACCACTGCATAAAGAAAAGGACATGAGTAGGAGACAGCTGTACCCCTGTCCGTCCTTGCTGTGGTGCTGGAGCAGGGTCACCAGACACGACAGGTTGTTCTCCAGGCTGAAGACGTGGGCCACTGCACTGCGGCCGGTCTGAGTGAAGGTCATCAGGTAGAGGGCATGAAGCATGCCCAGGACCTCCGGGTTGTCCCCTTCCTCTAGCCCAACCCCCCCCTCTCCTCCTGCAGCCACATGGCTCATGAGCTCGGACACACTCTGCAGAGCGTGCAGAGCCTGCATCAGCCACACGCCAAAGCCCTCCTCCCCGAACCCTGGCCCCGTGACCCCTCCCTCTCCCCCTGTAAAGGTGGTGTCCTCGCACTCTGCTTCTACCATTGACGCCAGGAGACGCAGCAGCAGGTTGGTGGGAGTGGGCTGAGCGAGAAGGAAGAGCAGTCCTGACTGTGTGAGCGACAGGAAGCGGAGGATCTCCCGGACAGCCTGGGTGACCCCGAGGTGACCGGCCGCTGCAGCCGCTGACAACACGGCCACCGTGCTCTCCAGGAAGTGGCACGCATGCATATACCTGAGGGATGAGAAGGTGCATTAATACAAACCCAATCAAGGAGTCCCAGCTCCATTCAACTTTTAGTTTATTTTTCAGACGTTTTCAGTCTTATGTTCGAATCTGTGACAAAACAATACAAGTTTATGCAGACTGTGGGGGAAACTTCTGAAGCAATTGGAGTCAGGACTCAGAGAGACACGATGGGAGCTGGAGCTTTGCTGGCAAACACTGACGGTTTATTTGGAGCTTCGGCCGGAGAATTCAAAAGACATGTCACGGGCCACGGTCTGACCACACGGTTGAGATGCCAAACCAATTCTGAAGAAGCGTCCTGTAGCTCCAGGTTTTAACTAGTTCGGAGTGTAATAATCAACATTCTTCAATAAATAGACCAAACAGACACTGAATTTGTTGTCGCTTATGGCTCGGGGTCAACTACACCCAGAGAAGGATGTGTTCCAGGTGTCCCACAACAATAACTATCTCTGACCAAGAGTTGCCCGGTCACAAACTGGTAACAACAACAAAATGCTAGGGCAGCCCCTCCTTAAGGGAGATAGCATGCTGCCCAAGGCTGGGCATCTGCGTCAGAGGACAAAGGGTACACATGTATACAGAATTATTCCCTGACACAGACCATAATCGTTTATTAAACCTAATATTTTTAAGTTTATTTTTTTGTACAATACAATACGCATTAAATGTATTGAGTGAAATGTCAAGAAACTAAATAAAATGCATGTGTTTTATATTTTTTCCAAAACGTATGACCTCTAGTGTGTATATGGGTTTTGGCTAATTGAAATAAATACATACAGCGTTCATAATATATATTTTTTGAATACCTATTTTTTGTATTTAAGTGTATTGTAAACGTAACTTGTCTTTCTTTTAAACACATTTGTTAATCTTTGTTCCTCTTTCATACTATCTCTCTTTAATTTGGAACAACTTCTGAATGCAGTCTGGAAGCTTCTTATCTTTGTACTTTTTACACTAGAAGTGCTGTTCTATTTGTTCCACCAAATCTCTACACAAACATACGTTTATAATTCACATACTTGTTGGTCTATGGTAATTAGCTCCGTTTACAATTCTTATTTGTGGCAAAAAAGTGGATTATATGTATGCCTTGTAGAAAGTAGGTGTGTATGGAACTATAAAAGAATGTTACAGACACTTCAATCCAATTTCATCAAATATTGAAATTGGATTGAAGTGTCTGCACTGTGTGAGGTTTGAGGTCATATGTGTTTGTCTGTTTACCTGTACAGTGTCGGGTATGGATCGTCCCTCTCCTGTGGCCCTGTTATTCTAGCACTGGTGGGGAAGGCTTTGACAGGTGGCTGCACCATGCAGTAAGGGGCCGTCTCTAGCAGGTGATGTAACTCTTCCAAAACCCCTGCCAGCCGATCCAGCTCAGCCTCGCTCACAGGGGACGAGTTCAGGGACGGCTCCTCTTCCATGGGGATCTCAGAGTCCTCCATCTCCTCCTATGATAGTTAGCCATGATTATCATAAAACATGTACTAAGTTAGTAACATGTGTGTGTGAGAAAACGTGTGTGTGTGTGTGAGTCTACCTGCTGTGGTTCACTCAATGTTGCTGCTGCCCGCTGCAGGTCGACCAGCACCTCATACATGTGGCTCTTCTGTAAAATCGCGTTGCCAGCAGTAATGACTCTCACTGTTTCTTCACGCAGGAACATGTGGACTAAACGCTGTGAAAAGGACATACAGCAAAGTGTGAGGTATGAGTGAGGCAAAAATGTAACATGATTTACTTACATTACAGCCAAGGCAGTGAGTGGTTCAATGAAACACAAGTAGATATAACAAAGAATATTGGCCTGACTGAGTCTGAGAGTAACTCAAGGTAAATGGTAATGAGCAGCATCTCAAATAACTTTGACACATACGATTCATCCATTCACACAAACATCCACACACAGGCAGCCTAATAAGCTACCACCTGCCCAGGGGAGACTCATATTCACCGCCTATGGTTCATTTCATGCTGTATTTAAAGGCCAGCTCACACTTGGATCAAATGTAAGGCTTGGTTCTATTTGGGATTTGTATTCATCTGTTTAAGCACATCAGGGAAGATCAAGTAATTTCATCTAATTCTTGTTTCTTATGCATTTAATAAAAAAATTCGACAATATACTATTTTCAAGTTTGTACACTTAGTGATGCTTACCTGATAGCCACTCTTCTCCGACTCTCCTGCATGTAGGAAAGCCTCTGCTCCAGCGGGAATACTGGTCAGAGCCCCCAAAGCTCTCAGGATGCTCAGCTTCAGTGTAGAGGAGACATGGTCCGCTTGGATGAGCTCCAGCAGCACACCGAGAGCCCCTTCACGCAGCAGCACCGAGAGGCCCTGTGGGCACTCGGCAAGCTGTGATAGTAGCTTGGCACCAGCTTTCAATTGTCTGAGATTAAGAGCAATGGGTTGTTTCAGAGCAATCTCCATATTCAGAGCTTGGAGCGCCCATTGTGCTAAAACTCCAACAGGTTCCTCCAGCTCGCCCTCTCCTTGTTTGATGAAATGAGCGAGGCCTTTGGCCAGTAGGGCAGGGGCCTCTTCTAGAGCGGGGACCCAGCGGGCATCCCTGTCCTCTCCAAAACTGGTCAGCAGCTCTTTGAGCTGGGCAACAGCGTCTGCCTCATTATCCACTGCTGGTCCTTCTGTACCAGCAGAGTCCATGGGCTCTTCCACAATGGCTTTCTCAAACTGGGTATCAAAGCGAGTCTTGTACGGAGGGGTGAAGTAGATCAGGGGTCTAAGTTCTCGCTCATATGGGTCAAACTGGACAGGTGGGACAGAGGCCAGGTCCTCAGGAGTGTATTCCATGTCAAACGTGGGCAGCTTGAAACTGCCATTATCCAAATCATCCTCATCACTGGAAATCTGCTCGTAGCCGTCATCACCTGAGAGACAGAAGAAAGGGGAAATTTGACAATATATATTAAAAAAGATCCATCATAAAACATGTGTCAAAAATGAATGAAATGAGGAGGCAAGCGACTACTACATATTCCCTAGCTAATTCACACACAAACCTTCATCACTCCACTCATGCTGGGTTAGTTTGACATGCAGGATGAGACACAGCACACGCACCAGCCATGGCTGTGAGGATGTGAGAGGTAGACCTCCACATGACAGCTTATGATACCTGTCATAAGCCTGCAGAGCAGCCCCGAGGTGAGCTAGCTCAGAGTTTGGAGCACCAGACAGATGACGATGGAGGCAGCATGCCAGAGAAAACACACTCTCTAACTCTCACTCATGCCAAATGGACCCGTCCCCCGGGGAGTTTGCATCCATTTGGGATTGCAGACTATCCTACTCTCACAAAACAACTCCCCTACCTTCCTCCATCTCCTCGTCCTCACCCTCATCTTCCTCTTCTTCTTCCTCCTCTTCCGGGACACTCCCCTCAGTCCGTGCATCTTCTTCCTCCTCTGGCTCCTCCTCATCGCCCTCTTCCTCTTGTTCAGCATCTGAGTATGCTTCGTCAGCAGGCAGCGATCTCTCAGGTGACACGGCCTCCAGGTAGTCTTCTCGGCCCTCTATTGGCTCCACTTTGACCGGGCCCACTGTAAATGTCAGAAGAGGACACACGGTTCAGTTAACATACCCACAGGGTTCAGTTAACATACCCACACTGTTCAGTTAACATACCCACACTGTTCAGTTAACATACCCACACTGTTCAGCTAACATACCCACACGGTTCAGCTAACATACCCACACTGTTCAGTTAACATACCTACAGGGTTCAGCTAACATACCCACCGTTCAGTTAACATACCCACAGGGTTCAGTTAACATACCCACACTGTTCAGTTAACATACCCACAGGGTTCAGTTAACATACCCGTACCACAGTTCAGCTAACATACCCACAGGGTTCAGCTAACATACCCACACTGTTCAGTTAACATACCCACAGGGTTCAGCTAACATACCCACCCTGTTCAGTTAACATACCCACCCTGTTCAGTTAACATACCCACACTGTTCAGTTAACATACCCACACTGTTCAGTTAACATACCCACAGGGTTCAGCTAACATACCCACACTGTTCAGTTAACATACCCACACTGTTCAGTTAACATACCCACAGGGTTCAGCTAACATACCCACACTGTTCAGTTAACATACCCACACTGTTCAGTTAACATACCCACAGTTCAGTAACATACCCACACTGTTCAGTTAACATACCCACACTGTTCAGTTAACATACCCACACTGTTCAGTTAACATACCCACAGGGTTCAGCTAACATACCCACAGGGTTCAGCTAACATACCCACACTGTTCAGTTAACATACCCACACTGTTCAGCTAACATACCCACAGGGTTCAGCTAACATACCCACACTGTTCAGTTAACATACCCACACTGTTCAGCTAACATACCCACACTGTTCAGTTAACATACCCACACTGTTCAGTTAACATACCCACACTGTTCAGTTAACATACCCACACTGTTCAGTTAACATACCCACACTGTTCAGTTAACATACCCACAGGGTTCAGCTAACAGTTCAGCTAACATACCCACAGGGTTCAGCTAACATACCCACAGGGTTCAGCTAACAGTTCAGTTAACATACCCACAGGGTTCAGCTAACAGTTCAGCTAACATACCTACAGGTTCAGCTAACATACCCACAGGTTCAGCTAACATACCCACAGGTTCAGCTAACATACCCACAGGGCACATGTACAAATCTATTGTATGTTTATAATTAAAATTGTCTATTAAATAAGAAGTACATCTTATCACACCTGTACTATGTTACACTATCTTATTGTTGTCAAATCTTTGTTATTAGGGGTTGTTTGTCAAAAGCTTATTTTGGAGGAGTTACAAGTTAGAAATGACAAGCTGTATAAAAAAACAGTGGCAGATATAATGTGATAGCACAGTGCAGTTCTCACCCGTCACTTGGACCTGCTCTTCATCATCATCATCTGGGGGCGGAGGACCAGGCGGAGTACGAGGTCCCCTTGGTGCAGGTCTGGGTGGGCTGCCATTGTACTGCTCATCTTTTTCCCACTCTAAAAAAAAGCAATAAATTGACAATATAAAAAGCTAATCTGGGAAAATAAGAGATACTGTGTTTATTGGCTGGTTTAGTATCAGGGGTGTGGAGGCGAGAGCGTTGGGTACTTTCGGTTCAATTATGCGCACCTTGTTTGATGATCCGCTTGGGCCCGCTTTGCTGTTGAGGTGGGGGAGGTGGAGGAGGAGGGGGGGAGCCTGCAACAGGTCCATGTGAGCGATCTGCTGTCCCGTACACTGCTACAGTCAGAGTGGTGTACCAGCCACGCAGCACTAAGCCGTCTGTGTTCACCTGTGTGCACAAACCCATTCGGTTATTCACAATTCAACAGAGAAATACAAATACATATCTGTTTTAGGTCAATCATTTACCGTTTCCACGTGGGTCTGAACACGATGGACTTGTTCTCGTCATATTCCAGACTGAGGGCAGAAAGCAGAACAGAGCAGTATAAAACATCAGTGAATATAGATAGATAGATAGATAGATAGATAGATAGATAGATAGATAGATAGATATAGATAGATAGATAGATAGATAGTAGAAGAAGATAGATACTTGATAACTAATCCTCAATTTGGGGAATGCTTTTGTTTACTAGGAAGCAAGTGTGTTTCAACATTTAAAATACAAATTACTTAGAAACGTGGAATAGAGTTAAACAATTTAAAAAAAGTAAAATTAGGCTTATACTACAGGAACATTAGGCTTATACTATGGGATATTTATTATCAATGCTGAACATCCTTTGAACTTGTGTTTGTTGTTCATCCTCTTAGAATTTAAAAGTTAGTTAAAAATACGCATGGCGAATGCAATTAAGTCTAGAAATCAGGTTAAAAGTCCTGGATAAACCCTGTTCCCCAAACAAGCGACAAAATTGTTGGAATTTTGGTCTAAAAGCACTCCTCATCACCTGTGATTCTCCCCGTTCCTTTATCTAATCAGGGGCTTAAGTGGGCAGAATACTACTCATTTTTTTTCCTTGCAAGGCTACCAGACAGTTTACGTCCACTACGAAGATCACTGGAAGTTGTTAGCTGTGTTGGGCAGGAATTCTGGGGGCACCGTGTGTCATCATTCTATAAATAACTATCAATGTACTGTGATACTGTACGCATGGCATATATTGCAGATTTTTTAATAATCTAATTTTTAGGGTGAACACCACACCGAACACCGCAACATCTGTTAAAAGAGGGAAAGACACACCATGTGCGACAGCCCACAACACCACACAACGGGCCGGGTGCGGGCGCCGCCCTGGAGCACGTTTTTTTTTTTTTCTGAGTGAAAATTAAGCCTGTGTTTTTTTGTCAAGTATGAGTCAGACTGTAATTCCTATTCACTTCACGGTCTTTGTTGTGTA